AAAAAAACAATTTAAATAAAGTGATAATTTTTTATTTCATACTTCCCTGAAACTGAAAAAAAAGTTTATACCTATAGAGACCGTCATCGTAAAATGAGCAGCTGGTGTTTGCAAGAATATATTCTATTAGGTATACAATATTCGTGTTTGTAAAATATTTATAACAACATTAAATATTAGAATAATTAATTACTGAGAAAAGATACATTTCTAAACCTAACTGAAACTTAATTAAATAATATAACATCAATTTCATTAAAAAAAAAATAATGGTTTGAATTTGAAAGTTATAAACTTACAACAGAAAAATTATAAAAGATATTTAATTTTAACTTTATCAGACTTAAAGGCAACAATGATAATATTAGAACATGCGTAATTTACAACATGTAGGTAGGTGTACTATGCAAATCGTATCTATCCAAATGTCGACAAGGACAACGATTTCGATTTTACGATGAACGGTGACCATTTTTTTTTTTTTGGTTGTGGAACAAGAAAATCAATTTTAATTTCGATCTACTCATAAAATATGTACTAGTAATTGCTTATCACGAGTATTTCGATGAGCAGAGTTAGAACTATTTTATTTATTTTTTCTTTTCCAAAACGTAAAATAATGTAGAATCACATACCTAATGTCATGCAGCCAGCAGGCTAACACTTGTCATGCTCATGCACAATCCGACGATCGAGATAAGTACCTAAGCCAATATTATATCGGCTTTATTACAATAGTAACAATACCTATGCCCACCAGCTACCTTATTCAAAGTACCAGCTGTGTATTTAATTTAAAAAGTAGTTGTTTTGAATCTTACTGGTAGTTGTTGAGTTTTCAAAACCGCCAATACTTCTATTTACATTCCGTACGCTCGGATGCATTGAGTTCCTGGGTACAAAAGAAATCCACGATCCCTACATAGATGAAAAAAAAAACATTCGAACGTCTCAATTGATTTGAGTCAATATTATACCGAATAAACATAATTTCCAAGAAATGAAAGAGAGTTACTACAACCACAGTACAGAGTCATAATAACTAATGACCCGAAAATTCGAGCAAATATTTAATCAATCCCATGCATCCTATTTTATTAGTACACGGTAGGGTGACCATGCGTTTTGTTTATAGCATTACTCTTCTGTTTTTTTATCCACATGTTCCCTTGTCACGACAAACTTCAAACAAGGAGTTTTTTTGTCCTGTTTTCTCCATACCATCATTATACTTGCTTCAATGAAACGATGTACGTCAAATAATATTTTTGCAATACATTTTATATTGAATTATTGAACCCAAAGTAAATAGTTATAAACACCAGTTTTTTGTAGAACGATTGTCGAATTCCAATGAACAACATTGTCAGTAATAAGCACGGGACATGTCGTATTGGCAGTATGTACAGTGTAATAATTAAAATTATGAAAACACTCCGTCCAAAAACTCCCCTTATCTTACAAGAAACATTATCTCGAGAAGATCTTTAGAAATATAAAAATGTTTGAGATCGTTTTTTTTTAGAATAAATCCAAAATTATTTGTGCCGTTTTTTTTAAAAATGTGTTTACTCTATACGGTACATATTAAAATATTAAAATAGACAAACTGTTAGAATATGGGTACTTGGTTTTGAGTTTTGCCCGATGCGCAAAATACTTTTTCAAACTTTTTAAAAGCAATTTTCAATGCATGATTTAATTTTTTTTTCGAATATTATGTGGCAATTGGTTTTCAAGATTTGTTTTATCGACTCATATTTGAATGGTAACATTGTTTTACTTTAATGGACTTGAGAAGTAGTAATAGTATTTATTTGTATATTCAGCCTAAACAATTACAATTAAATAATTACAATAAAATACATTAATAACAGCTATATAAATAGTTTGTAAACTATAATACTGTATATATTATGCAGATATTTAGCAGCATTTTTCTTTGATTTCCTTATAAGAAACTTTAAGAGACCACCTAATTATTATAATAATGTAAATGTTTTAAAAATGTGTTTTGCTCATTAGTTACTTCTACGTGTGTATTTTACATTTTTTTTAAGGGACTCATAAAGCTAGGAATAAACGCATAATATTTTAACGTTTTTTGGTACTTATATCCCTAGACCAGCCATACTCAACCGGTGGCCCACCAAATTGTTTGTATGTGGCTTAAAAAGAACTCAATAAATTGATACAAAAATGTAAATTCAAAACTAAACTATATTTTTCAAAACTATATTATATTATAAATATAATATAGCCAAACGCAATTTTTCATAAGGATGATTTTATCTACGATTTATATTTTATTACATTATTGATGCATTTTATCGATTAACTGGCAGTGGCTCGTGTGTACAAATATTTTTTTTCGGTTTGCGACCCGTGTAATATTTTTAAATATTTTATGTGGTCCAAATACAAAATTGTTGAGTATGGCTAGACAAACAATAATAATTATTTAATAATATACCCACACAATGTGAATACCAGTATGCTTAAACTCGATGTGACATACTAGCAGCTGCCTAGTATACCTAAGATGAAGCTGAGATAGGCTTAGATCAATTTCGGTTCGATTCCACATAATATCATCATTATCATCATCATCGACATCTACTACGTTATAGTAATAATATTAAAACAATCTATGACAATCTATGGCCACCAATAATACAATGACATTTATACGTGCAGTGCAGTATCATATTATACTCTTATAATATCGGTCGTGTCCGCGATTGTCTGATCTCGGCAATCGGCAACGGTCATTATAATATTATAGTATTCAGTTGTCCGCAGATCGTCGTCCGCACAGACATTACTATAATATTCAGATAATAATTGATCGGGAAAAAAAAAACCGACGGCGGTTTCGTTTGATCGACGTGTGTGCACAATATAATATATACATATTATTTTAACGTACTATCGCGCATTATCTGTGGTCATAACGACGTTTTAATGACGCGAGTGATGGCGATTTGTGACGGCGGCGACAACGCAATAAAATATAGGTAGGTAGCTGGTAAAATGTGACCACCACAATCGTATTATTATTATCATATCATAAGCGACACGCCCGCCTCCGATGCGATTTCAGTATGTGTGTGTGTGCGTGTGTGTGTCGATAGCGTTCGAACGTCGTTTATAATATTATTTGTAGTGTTGTGATCTCTCGACGAAAGCCGTTCCGCGGTCCGGATAAAAAAAAAGTACGTGATCTGGTGCGCGTCCCGCAGCTGAGCAGCTCCTCGCGAGTGGAGTTACGACCACGGTATTGATATAATAATATTATGATGTGCTGCTAACCTATGCTATTACCGTACGTGTTCGTATGTGTCAGTAGTACCCATCCTAGGTAATATTGTATGCGGTAGTCGGAGTGTCAAGACAAGTGGTTGAGGTAAACCGGTAGACGGTAAAGGTAGGGAAAACTTTAAAATTAGATTATTTACTTACTCGAAATGTTAGATATATCGATACATTTCCGAGAGTATTGCTTCACCAATAAATATATACGTAAACGCAGGTGTCTTCCGCCCAGCCACTCGTTTGGCACTCGGCAATCATTATAAGATTTTTTTTTTAAAAAAGCTCGATAACTGTATTTCTTTCAATATAATGTAAATACATAGATTTAGGACCACCGATTTTTTAAAAAAAACCTAACTGTTGCTGTGTGCCAAGATGAATTCCTTGACGGCCGATACCTACTTATAAGTACAAATGTATTGGTGTAGTAACTCGAAAACATATCAACATATCTAAGTCGTTTTGACTAAGTAAATAATATAATTTTAAAGTTTTCCATTATTATAATGTATGATATAAATGTACAATATAGGTAGCGAAATGTAATAAATCCAAGAGTAATTATGTATATACGCTATACGCATCGTATAAAGAGACCGCGAGAATACTGGTATCGCAATAATATTTAAAATCAGCAATTGTTGAGTTATTACACAATATGATAATATAACGAGCGTGTGATATCTATTATAATTTGTACCTAATATTAGGTATAGGTTACCTACCTATGCAAATGATTTTTCGTTTAATTCGTATAATAGTGCTCAGCACTGTCATAAATTATAATAATATCTGACACGGGCATACCCACCATAATATTATAATAAACCTGTATAGACTTATGGTTTTCTCTCGAATTCTCATAATTTCCTTAAATCACGTCTTTCTCGTTATGTATAACCACGGCGGCATCGTTCCTCGTGCTATGATGGTTCCTTCGTCCACTGGACGACCGCCGAGTCCTGTAAGTCCGTCGTCTCTTAACCCATCGAACCTCTTTCCCGCGCGGCGGCCTCTAATTCTCCAACTGCTTTTTTTAATAATTTTTCGGAAATACACGGGGAGTAGGTACGTGACAATTTCTTGGGCGTGCGATTATATTACCTATATTATATTTGTCGGAAAGAAACTATATATTTATATTACTTTTATTTCTTAAGACTTAAGTTATCTGCCATTTTGAACAGCATTTTTATCATATTTTTGATTTCACATTCCTATAGAGAATATTTATTGAATTATTTCGAAGTCAAAAAAAATCACATTTTTCCGAAGACAGTTATAGTTCAGTAGTTATTCATGTTAATAATAATTAATGTTTATAGACGGGCCGCAGTAGTGGACAACCAGCACATTTTGCAAGGTCTCCAGCACCACTCCGTTCCGATTTACTTAAATACAACTTGGCACTATTAAACTAAAAGTCGAAAATTCCGGTTTTATATATCGGAGTACTGCCCGTATACGTTGAAATACGTTAACATTTGTTGAACAAACAAAAATGAAATGTTGTCGAATGTCTTACTTTTGATATGAATCACCCATTAAATGTGTAGACGATTGTCAACCAATCGGAATCGTGTACTACCCACTTATATACTTACCTACTTATTTTAAACCTTACACTATCATATTCCATTTTATACCGAACGTCACGGTTTTGTGCTTATTTCGTCACGTTGCAGACCACATTCACGCCGAGCAGTTTTGCCGAACTGCTGTCCGGTTCGTATTCCGAACTGCCGCTGAACGAGGAGATCGACTCACTGTCGGACGTCCATTCCGTGCTGACGGACGCGGCCGAACAACAGCAACCGAATCACCTGCAACAGCACCAGCAGAATGGAGCGTCGGGGCTCCAGTTGCCGAGTTTCCAGGAGACGTACGCCGCCTCGGGAGTAGGGTTCAAAATGGAAGAGGATTACGGTCCGCCGACCACTGCGGCGGCCGCGGTGACCATGACCGCGTCAGCCAATTACCATCAACAACACCATCATCCCCATCTCCATCTCCACCAACAACAGCAGCAACAGCATCACCAGCACCATCACCAGCAACAGCAGCCGCAGCAACAGCCGGCTCATCACCAGCTCCTGCACCAACACCATGTCCAACAACACCAGCAACAGCAGCAGCAGCAGCAGCAACACAACGGACAGCCACACCAGCACCACCATCACGGTCCGCCGGCCCCGCCCCCGCCGCTCATACATTTCGACTATCACTTTCAACACTTTCCGGGCTCGTTGCCGCCGCCGTCTCAGCAGCCGCCCGATTCACCGACCGCCGATCAAGGCGGCACAGCGTCCGTGTTCGAACCGATGTTGGATCACGTGGTTGGCATGTCACCCAAGCAACACCATCAACAGCATCACCACCATCACCAACAACAACATCACCATCAACAACAGCAACAGCAACAGCAGCAGCAACAACAACACGTCGTCGTCGCTGTCAATCACCAGCACCACCATCAACAACAACAGCAGTCTCTGCAAGTGCCTCAGCCGCCACCGACGCCGCGGCCGACGGCCACATCTCTGATGATTGACGCGGCCACGGAGCAGCTGCAACACGTCGTCAACAACGCCGCTTTGGTGGACGCCAACAGGACCTCGAGGACTTCGTCCGTCGCCGCAGTGTTGGCGCTAAGGGCCGCCACCGATCCGTCCGCCAGGTGAGTCCAAATTGTATATTATTATTAGGGCTCGGAAATTGTAGGAGAACAATTAATAAATATTCATAAAAATTTTAAATAATTTCAAAAAAAATCTTAACTATATAAGGATTAATTATTTTGATTGTAGAAAAATACATTTGTAATATTTAAAATATGGCATGAAACTGTTTGTCAAAAATAGTTAAAAAATATATTCTAAAAAATTACAAGTCGGAATATTAGTACGATATAATATAGTCGACGATAATATTGAGTTTCATATTCGAAATTATTATTTAAATATACACATTCAAAAAGCAAAAAATCAAATTTTTAAAAAATAATAAATTTATTCACAATATGCATACAAAAATTAAGACATATGTATATGTTACGGGCAAAGTGGAAAATTCGGGCAATGTATACAATGCCCGGGTATTTTACACAGTGTCCGGGCATTGTATACAATGTCCGAGGTATATTGGGCAATGTAAATTGTGAAGTACTTATACAAATAATCTGCATAATATTATTTTACCTAATCAATGATATTATATACTAATAATTATTATACTCGTTTATATGATTATTTATATAAGAGTATTAGAATTTTTTTTTAATTAATTAAATTTTAAATGTATTTAAAGGTAATGCAATAAAATATTATGTGCATAATGTTCAGTTATATGATATTATACATGAAGTTCATTTGTCAATTGGACATGGAGGTAGAAATAGAATGGAACACGAGATTAATAAAAAGTACAAAAATATAACTAGAGATGTAATAATGTTATACTTAAATAATTGCAAATCGTGTAAAAAGAAGGGAAGTACAGCTAAAAAAGGGTTGGTTGTAAAACCAATCATATCTTCTGAAATGAATTCTCGCTGTCAAATTGACTTGATCGGCATGCAAGCACAATCAGATGTCGATTATAAATTCATATTAGTTTATCATTATCATCTAACAAAATATATTATGCAGATTATTTGTATAAATACTTCACAATTTACATTGCCCAATATACCTCGGACATTGTATACAATGCCCGGTCACTGTGCACAATGCCCGGGCATTGTATACATTGCCCGAATTTTCCACTTTGCCCGTAACATATACATTTTTCCCCTAAAACTGAAAAAATATGCGAAACATACATTTTCAATGTTTTAATTCGCCATTTCATAGCTCTTATTCAAACTTTAAATCCAGACCAATTTAGAGCGCGTATAGAATAATATGCAACTCCTACAACTTACGAGCCCTAATCATCATTATTATTATTCGTATATATTATTACGTCGTATGGGTCATTGATATTGTAAACATATCGAACGTGCACAGTCACTACAATCCAGCCATCTTTAGAGTTAGCTTTTTGGTCTACACAATGGAGAGAGAAACGATGGTTATCACTCGCACAGAAACTTCTGAGCGATAATAATAAGACAGATTAATTAAACCTATGGGTACATTACATGAGTGAAAAGAGTTGTAATAATCTGTTGCGTTTAACAGTGGTATCGGTGGTGTTGGCAATCAGATTTCTATACAATGTTGCATTCGTAAGTTAAATATCAGTTGTAAAGGTTGACATAGGCGTGTCTGTTGACTTGTGGGTGGCCACGAGGGAGGGAGGGAATTATATTCAGCCTTTACACCGCGTTTTAAAGGGTGACACTTAGTTAAAAATCTGTTTTTAATTCATACAGTGGAAATCGATTATTAGGAACACGGACGATTGACACAATTACGTTATTGAAACAAAACATCTAGGGACGGCCCCCTATACAAATAGAAACCAATCGCAAATCGTTAATTAACACATTTCACATTGGTTAAAAAATGTTCCCAGTAAGCGGCTTCTACTATATTTACTCGATAAATATTTGTAATAAAATAATTTAATAATATTATTTCGAGTTTAAAAAAAAAATTAAACTAAAAATTAAATTAATTAAATTAAAAAATAAGTAAATATTAGTACACATTTGTACAAACCATGCTCGTTATATCTGCATGATGTAAGACACATCCCTAAAAAAACATAAAATACAATCTAGTCTCTTTTTCCCATCCGGTTCCTAACAGGGTCGTATATGTATTACGATAAATAATATCATTTTATATTATTCTCTATTATTTTAATTTTTTTATTCGACAACAATCAAATTCGATATTGTTCGCATCGCCCACGTTATATATTTTTATAATACTGCAGGTACGCGCCGTGCATGTGAAATCGCTTTCCGGGCTATTATCGCGGAAACAACCCTCCTACATCGCAAATATATACAATCGTTGTCGTCGTTCGTCGAATTTCGCGTAGATACGATATTCTATGATAAAACATCACACCGGCCTACGTCGACTGTAAGTCATATTAATGAAGTGACGAAGTGTGTATAACATAATAATATATAATATATATTTTATATTCATTATCATTCCGTGTAAAGTTACCGTGGTGAGTGCTTGTGTCGAAACTTGAATACACCTTTGCATTTCGCGGAATTCGGAATATAGTATCTGTATCGGAGTCTATCGGAGTCTATATTTATCATGGGGGAGGGGGCACGCCCGAACAAAGTGAATAGAATTTAGTTATTCGACTGTGATTAAAATCCGCCGTGTACATAATTTAAATACTAGTGTTACGTGCATTCGAAAACTTAACAAGATTGGTTATAGGTAGTGTCATTAAATAATTTTTTGGTATTTTAAATACGTTTAAAATAATGTTTGACAATAAATTAATGCAGGTATTTTAAATACTTGAGAAATACTTTTTCTTCGTATTTTTATTCCCAAACACTAAGTATAATTTATCGTTTTGCCATTCTCTTCCAACAACCAATATTTTTGTATTTAACTATTTAAATTTTTTTCTAAAATACTATTTTATGACGATAAATGGTTCTAAGAATTTATAATGCTACACTTCATCAAACAAGTAGATAACAGAAAAGCTAACCATTTAAGCGCAGAATTTGAAATTCTTAAACCTATTTATGTACAATTCATAAAGTTTATTTTGCATGATATTATACTTGTTTTACTTGTCATTTTTGTATCATTTGCTGCTAATAAGACAAGTGATGACCATACTCATCAGACATACTTAATAAGGATTTGGTAAAAACTTAATTAAAAAAATTAAAAAAAAATTAACCTGGAAAAGGCGACACAATATTTCCAACTCAAAATATCTTTGAAATACACTTAAACAAATCACTTTGCAGCGGCGCTGCCTTACAACTCACCAACCAATAACCGCACATAACAGTACAATTATTGCGTGGGGAGAGGTATAATACGTACAATACTTTATTACGACACAATAATAATAGTTAGCTTTCCAATGACCGTTTATTAATCGTAGTGGATAACTTGAGACCCACATCGTCAGTGTCACATCGTCGGAATACCTACCAATTATCGGTGCTTATTCAAATTTAGGTATGTATATACATATTAGTGTTGCTGTGAATTGAATTTTTAAAAAATGAAGATTTAAATTTCTCATTAATTAGCATATAATTAGAAGGGGTACCCCTGTAAATATTTTGTAAAAAAGAAATGGTACTCCGTCCCACCGAGTCTCTTTCCGATTCAAACACAGTATACAGTAAACAAATATCGGCAATGGACGTTATTCACTAGGTACGCTTATATAACAACAACGAAACTAATGATGATAATTAAGTCCGGATTTGAATTGCAAAATCAGTTTGTTTTTTTAAATTATTATATTTTAGGATGGTTTTTATTATCACCTATGGTTTGCTACATAATCATATTATAATAAAGATTTTATCCGATTTAAGATGTTAATATATTTTTAGTTTTTAGGTGTAGAGCAATATAATATGAAATATTAAATAAAAGAATAACATTTTTAATTTAAATTAAATGTAAATTTATAGTGTTAATTTTTTAACTAATCTGTGGTTGAATATGATAGTGTAAGGTACATATTTGTATCTGGAGGGGATTGAGGGCGGATAGGGGGGGCGTAGCCCGCTTTATATGTCGATATTTTCGCTTAGTCAAAAACATTTCACCAAATGCTCTTCAACATATTGTAAAATTTTCAAAATATTTTATATCTACTCATAGACATTTTCAATTTTCGTTTTTTTTAGATTATTTTCATAAATGTCTTTAAGACTAAGTGGCGTAAGATAAAGGCCTAAGAAGCCAGGTGCCAAGCATTAAAAGATTAATTTTGAATAATTCTGTAATATTTAATATGTACATATTAAGCAATACTGCAATTCAATAATATACACATTTCCTCGTTTTTAACCAATTATAAATACATTTTTTCGTCATAATAGAAAATTTGACAGGACTGGTAGACACAGTATGATCAATAATACTATAATAGTTAATATTATAAAAAAATTGTATATATATTCAAAACTATATTTATTTTATGTGGAATCGCTAATAATATAATGACATATACAATTAATAATTACAAGAATAACACGCAACTCAATTATTTAAAAGGTTAAGAGCATCAAACCAATTTTATCAACAGACATATTATCTACAAACAAAGGAGTTATTAAGTTTGCACATTATACAGTAGAAACTGCTTATTAGGAATACTTTTAGACCAAGGTGAAATGTATCAATTAAAAGATATTGTTTCTAATAGGTGATTGGCTTCTACTTGAAGTAGGGGCCGGCCAGTGCCTAGACATTTTGTTTCAATAACGCAATTGTATCAATTATCTGTGTTCATAATAAGTTACTTCTACTGTTACTCTAATATATTAACGAGATACGATATGTTAACGAATGTACCATATTATAATAATTTAAAGTCAATAAAAAAAAAAAATTGTTATCAAATGTTATTTTATTATGCCTCATCAAATGGCAGCTGATATAATTTTTATGTGGTACAATCTTTTAATTATCCATTTCTTAAGTTAATACCATAAATTGATAAAATATATATACATAATGTACATTTTTTACAAAAACGATTATAATATGCATCAAAAACACATTATCGAACATATAGATTTGCATAACTAACCACCACAATAAATTGTGAATTTATATTGTTCTATGTATAGAACAAATTAAATAATACGGTATGGGTGATATTTCTGATACGATTTGGGTCAGTTAGACTTTCCTCTGAGTTTTCCGGTTGTCCCGTGGCTATATAAACGAAGATTTTGGTTGAAAAATTTTCGGTATTCATAACTGTGATTGTTTTGTCACCCTATGGTGACCCTAATCTTTTTAGTGGGATAGTTTACGATGAAATATTTTATCGAATAATATCCATTGAAATAAAACATGCAAAAAATATCATAACAAATAATTATACTAATAAGGAATGTTTAGTTTTTGAATTCTTTGATGTATAAAATAAATTTTCCGAATAAAAAGTTAAGTTCTAAGGCATTCAGAACAAAATTTAATTCAGGTATAAATTTAAGTCCCACTAGTGAGATAGACAATGTGGGAAAAGTGCTGTTTGTTGGTCTTTATATGCTAAGTTATTGAGATTTGAACTTCCGCCAAAAATAATCATTACTATTTATTATTATTATTATTATTATTATTATTATTATTATTGTATACATAGGTATATTTTTTTAAATTTAAATTATCATCTTATAATTATAATACTATAACTTTAAAAAAAAAAATTATATTATAAGGGAGATAGACAAATATTATTATAATAAAACTGAAATACAGTGATTCATCAGTGATCTTCAATCTTGGATGTATTATACAAGAACATGTCAATTTCTCAAATTTTAATAAAACTCTTAGATACAACTACACAGTTATTTTTATACAAATAAAAACAAATTATAATACTATGCATTAATTATACTTCTGCAGCAATTATAATAGTCTCAGTATAAATTAAATAAGTAGACAAATACTGATTTGCGTTAATTGATAAAAGTCCTAGTTATTATATCATGTTTAAAAAAACGTGTAGCTAAAACCGTTGAAGGCGCTAAAAGCTAAAAAAAACTCCCATTTGAGAAAGCCATAACCTCTGTCCAAGAATTGATGGCACCACTGAGCTCATGCCTAAAAAACAGAACTTTCATCAAAATTCCAGACAAGGTCCATTTTCCTTTACTTCTTTCTCCCCTTATATCTCTTTCTCCCCTTATATCTCTCTCTCTCTCTCTCTCTCTCTCTCGTTCTCTGCTATCAGCTGTCTTTCGACACCGTGCAGCATGCCACGTGCGTTAAGTAATCGTCATTACAATATCATTTACTAATGACTTTTATTGTTATTACCCTTTACAGCAGCCTGTCTCCGAAATTGCGGCACTGCATCAACCCAATGTCGGTAACTGTGCCCGTCGAATGTTCGCCGCCTACACCAGACGCTGCTTGTATTATGCCTCAGAGGAACGCCACCGCCGTGGCCACTGCTCCATCTTCGCCGTCCCAACTGTGCGCCGTGTGTGGTGACACGGCCGCGTGCCAGCACTACGGGGTGCGCACGTGCGAAGGATGCAAAGGTAAGAGCCCTAATGCGAATAGAGTATTTACCATTTCTTTTAGTAAGTAAATTCTATTAGTCAGTTCATGTTTGTAAGTGTATTACCTGCCGTTGTTTTAATGTGAGGTACGAAATTGTAAATTTAGTGTATGGGCCGCTTTATGATGGTGATTAGTTCATATCTCCCAAAAAAATATTTCTAAGTTCACCTCCAGTAGCAACGAGTCTAGAAAATTGTATAATATTCGATAATAGGCGTAAGTAACTAGGTATACATTTTTATCTGATAATTAAAAATATTGGCTAAAGATAACAATTTGTTGCCATAAATTTTCTTTCTGTGCCAGTGTTTGGAGACATTCTCACACTAGATATGCGCTAATATTATTATTATTATTATTATTATTATTATTATTATTATCACTATCATTTTCAATCATTATATTATATTGATGTAGAAAATACATAGTTATGCAACAACGTCGAAACGGGTCAATTCTTTCAATTTTTTTTTTCTGATATCGTTTTCAGTTGGTTTGGCAATTATGAATTTTTCAACCAGGAAATAGCGCCTTAATTTTCAAGCAGTGAAGGCACTCCAAAAGTTTCACGTTTTCCGCAGATATAAACACGTGTGTTATGATCTACTTTGGAGTGGTGGATTATGTTAGTTTCTTAGAAAATTAAATAATAAGTTCAACCATGTACTAGACTATTTTTGAACAAATCGAGTTTCACACAAAATTGGTTTTTGGTAAAAAAAAAAAAAAAAGAAGAAATGTCCAAATACTACTGATGACCTGATAATTCTATACGGAAGCCCGATTAAAATCTATTCTATCTCGTTTATGTCTTAAACTAAAAACTATTGTTTCAAAATATGCCCATCAACTATTATTGTTTGTATAGTACCTATACGCATCTATTGATTTAATTTCCTTTTTGAAATTGTGAACTATATAATATTGTAATGTTTTTAGTCAAGAAAAAAGTTACAGAATATTATTACGATTTTTAAATATTATTACAAATTAATATTTAAATAGTTTTTTTTAATTTTATTAAGAAATTCCTATTGACAGTGATAAAAAATCTAATAAAATTATTATGTGAGGCTCAATAGTATATTCGATAAGTACTATATTAATATGAATTTTTGTTACTATATTTTATTATATTATTAAGTAGGTCTAGTAATGGATTTGAATTTTTCCACTAACTATAATTCATCCCCTCTTACGATTCTTGGTCAACGAATTCTGGTTCTGCTGTAGTAAATATGCGAATATGCGATATGTGAAAACGCGCTTAAATATAACGCCTTGTGACGTCAAATAGAGCATTTTTGTTGTCCATACAAAAATTATTTCATTCGAAATCAGATAACAAATTTTAGGCATCTATTCTCGAATTTCGTACTTTATTATATATCATTGTACGTGAGCAGTGTAATACGCACCTAATTATGTGGCAGTCTACATTTTAAAATTACATCATATATTTTAACATATTTTAATACTCTCGTTTGGATAACCAATTAAATAACGTCTATAGTGTCAGTAGTGTCCATACTTTCATTAGGTCATTTAGTTTTGCTACGCTTATTAAATTTTTCAAACATTCAGTAACTACTTATATATTATAGGTGTATTTAAAATTATTTTAAAACCTTCAAGTATCACCAACTTTTCAACTCTTAATGATTGCCTTTACTGATCACGATTTTATTATAATATATATGCTTAAAAACTATGATATAATACACTATGCAATTCTCCAGTCACCCTGAAACCCACGAAACGCTATAGTTAAAAATTCGACTAATCAATACCAATCCTAATTTGCATTACGATTTACGAATCTGAAATTAGTCGATTTTCCCAAGTATTATGTTTTTCGTAGCACCCACGTGGTGGATAATAAAATACCCTATGTATAAACGAGTTGACTTCCAGATCTTTTGAAAAAAAATAAATCTATGTATTTTAAATAATATGGCAACGCTTTAAATTAAAAACTTAAATTTATAATAGGTACATAGATCTAATGTATGTATGTATGTCCATACATTTTAATCTAACGATCATAACTACTACATATAATAACTCTTAAGGTATTTTAATCATCAATTCATTTTTGAAGATTTGTTTCAAATCATAATATTTTTAACTTTTGTTATAAAACGAACATATTATGAAAAACGCGCATCAAATACTGATTCTTCATTTTCACATTTGTATTCGACGGTTTTCTTTATTAATTATGAGTCATAATTTATGACAATTATGTTACTTCGGTAATTGCACATAATAGTTTAACCTTATTATTACGTAGTTTATATCTAGTTACATTGGATTCTATCCGTAGTGTAAACATTAAAATGAAAAAAATTGTTGAAGGTTTATTTAATTTTAGTTTAGAAAACATGACCAAATTAGTTAATACTTTATAAATTATAATTAATAAGGTCGGGCCATTGATAGGCTCAGGCAGAAACTATGCTATGGACCTGATACCGTCAAGGCGTCACTGATATGTGGTGGGTCTGGATAATAATTAATACCCTTAAATTTAAATTTGACAACCAATAAGTTAACTGTAATAACGTTAAACATCAAATATATTCTAAGCATATAACCACAAGTCATGAGGATGTAACGTATTCTCTTAAAACGATGATAACTAATAATATTATTTCACAACGATTTATACCATTGCATTTCTCTGTCGTGTAGGATTTTTCAAGCGGACCGTGCAGAAGGGCTCCAAGTACGTCTGCCTGGCTGACAAGAACTGTCCGGTGGACAAGCGTCGACGAAATCGGTGCCAGTTCTGCCGATTTCAAAAGTGCCTACAGGTGGGCATGGTGAAGGAGGTGGTGAGGACCGACTCGCTGAAGGGCCGTCGTGGCCGATTGCCGTCCAAGCCTAAGTCACCACACGGTTCGCCGCCCAGTCCGCCAGTGTCGCTCATCACCGCGCTCGTTCGGGCCCACGTCGACACCAATCCGGACTTCTCGTCGTTGGACTACTCACAGGTGAAAAAAACGAAAACGAAAATGTTTGAAACCTATTTTTGATTCTTGAGAGAATGTCAGCGCAACCAAGTCAAAACGCTTTCACCTATAAGATCATTTTTTATTGATTTTGAGTATTCTTGAGTAACTATAATACTTATAGAGTAAAATCACCCATTACAAAAATTATGGAAGATAATATTTTTGAGGGTGTGACACATCTATTTTATACTTAATTACTATTCGACTGTGTATACTACTTTCAACATAAAATACAATTTTTGTAAATTTAAACGATGTTTAAATTGTCTTGAGACAATATTTAGACAAATCGGTGTGCCATACCCTCAAATATATTATTACCTGTTGTTTTTTTAATGGATTATTTTACTCTAAGGTTACTGAAAAACGTAAAAAAAAATTATCCACTTAAATGCGTTTTTTCTATGGGCTTGGGCCGCTTGGGAGTGAAAGAGAAAACAAACAGTGCCCTGACATCCTATCGAGTATTCTGTTCAAATGAGTCTCTAGTTGACGTCCCCTGCGCGCTTCATTATTCAATTGATTTATTATGATATACGTACTCAAATTATTTAGTCTATAAATAGACTATATATAAGTACACTTTTTAGGCTATTCAATTTGCAATTCTATAGTAGGATGACATGGGAGGGGGCTTTTTAGGCAGGTATTGGTACCAATTCATGAACAGCTACAGCTTTAATTTAATATCGAAGGCATGATTACATCTGCTACCGAAAATTCATAATAAAATCAGAGTGTGTGTTGTATCACAACATTGCGTGTTAAGAATTGTTAAGAAACATTATCGCAAAATTTTATTTCGATTTTTCTATCGTTCGAAATTTTCCAGTGCATATTTTTTACGATCGTTCTCGTTTTCCAGTTAGATAAATAATACCACATTTTAGGTGTATATAGGAAATCAAAATTATTAATTTATGATTATGTCCTATGGGGTTATCTTTTAGAACTGTTCAAGGTAGCATTTTATTATAGAATATCTATTTATGTTATTTACCTTTGTTAAATATATTTATTGTTTATAAGTGTTTCTTTTGAATATTCGAAGAACGAGCTTTTAAATATTGTGAGTAGATACCTACCTCATACTTTTGAACGATATGTATTCGGAATGTTTGATGAACATATTATTATTTTGGGGTAGACAAGGCGTCACAGCCAATTTTTGCGATTTATTTTTATGAAAATATGTCTGCGGTGACAATGTTGGCAAAAAAAAAAAGATTTTTTATTTTTCCTCATTGATTTTTAGAACTTTAATTTATATAATCTATCTATATTTTAAACTCTACTGTCTGAATGCTCAGTTTTTAATGCATTGTATATATTTATATATCTTGCTTTATTCATGCATATTATTATTATTATTATTATTTATTTCCACTCTTGTTAGTTAATACATAATAGTAGTAATAATAATAATAATAAACAATACATTACAATACACTCGTGCCGGTTTTAAATTCCCACGCAACCGGTAATATAATAATAATAATAATATATCGACTGTTTGTCAAATAAAAAAACACGCGGGGGTGGAGAACATATTTTCTACTTTCACACATGGTATGGGTGACAACAATTATTGTGGTCGTTCGAGTGTTATAATATACAGCTGTCGGTACATTTTATTATACGTACAGGGTGATTATGTTATATCGGAGAACACTGGATATTCTTTGAGCTCAATTGTGGACCCAACCCTGCTGGCTGTGGCCCCAGCATGTTAAAGTTAGGTTCTCTCAGACTTTTGGGTTGCCTAGATTAAAACTTTAAAAGATGTCTAGCTTACTGTGATAATATATAACACATGAATATTATTTACGGGTATGGGAAAGTTATGCTATAACTTAGAGTAATATTAGCTAAAATAATAGTATGACTAAATTGATGGTGTTTTCTATAGTATCACGAGCCAAAGCCGTTTGAACCATTGATCACCGAAGCGGAAAAAATTCAACAGTTTTTCGGATTGCTCACGACGTCCGTGGAAGTGATCAGACATTTCGCCGAAAAGATACCGGGATTCAAAACTTTGTGCAAATCGGACCAAGATTTATTATTTCAATCGGCGTCTCTAGAACTATTCGTTCTCCGTCTAGCGTACAGGTACTTGTTGATTAATTATTCCTTTTTGATCTATTTTAAATGTAACATTTAAAATGAACAATTTAATTTTTAATGTTCTTAAAAAATATTATCCCGAACGTCCGTGAAAACTGGGTACACTATCTACAACTCAGTTACCTACATTACTCAGTACACTATGCATATTTTAGAATTCTGGAGATTGATGATCCAATAGTCTAGTTGCCGCATACTACAAACAGAATTTAAAAATGTGTATAGGATACTGAGTAATATGGGTACTTTAATTGTCTAGTGTACTCAATTTTCGTAGACATAAGGTCCTATATATAAGGCACCTATGTCACCTTATCTCTCTCTCTCTCTCTGTTTTTAAAATAGCTTGGTTTATCATTATAAACGTGCACTGTCGTAATGTGTCCTAATTTTTGACACGATTCAGATTTTACTATACCTACAAATTATTTGTACATTATATTGTGTTTTCTAAATGATTTTAGTAGGTGTATATATAAAAAGTCGAAAACTGGAATTATTATTTATATGTTATTCTTATTAAGCTAATATCTCGTTTGATTTATTTAGGACAAAATACGCCGATACGAAACTAATATTTTGTAACGGGGTAGTTCTGGACAAACAGCAATGCCACCGGAGTTTCGGCGATTGGCTACAAGCTATATTGGACTTCAGTCAATCATTACACTCGCTGGACATTGATATATCATCCTTCTCTTGCCTGTGTGCCTTAACTCTGATCACAGGTATACATTTTTATTTTTGAATGGTACAGTAGGTTGTTTTTACACAATATATAAATCATATGTAATATTATACGGTGATGTGTTGACACCTTTTGGGTGCTTATTCGGCTAATGTGTGAGGTATTAATGTTAAAATATAAATGTGATAACATTTTATAAATTTAAAATGTATGTTATATACCTACTTATTATAATTAACATAGATTCATTAATTAGTTCATCAATTAATCAACAAGATTTTTAACTTTTCGCAGCCTCCGTGTTGTAAGTTATAACACACTATAGTGTTTCATTGAATAATTTAATAGAAAAAATCGGTTTAAAATCTACAAGTTCGTAGTCCTTTTCAACGAAGTTTCTAACACGAAAATTTTTTTCTAGGTTTATGATTTCATAATATTATTACTGAAAAAACAATAAAAGTAACTGACATGAGACCACTACTGTACACTACTCTGAATTAGTACGTCTCAGAATATAAATATATAAAAAATATAAAATGTCATTAAAATTGACCATATCAAATTTTGTAAACTGCAGTGTTCAAATTACTTTATGTTAAAAAAATATAATATTCAGGATGTAACAGAAAATCTGACAAAATATAAAATTTATATTAATTAAACGTACTACGAAAATTGTGAACATGATGAGGATACTAATTAATTTAAGAAATATACTTATATCAGTAAATTTCCAAAAATAACATTTTGAGAAAAAAGCTACTCCACACTTACAAAATAATTTACTCCAAAAAAATATTGATATTTAAAAAAATTATAGAAATAAGCTATACTTGGCTAAATGGCATGTGAATTTAAGATCACATTTTTTTTAATGTCCACTTACAATAATCCATGAAGAATTTTCAATTCAACTTTCAAGTTTTTGAAAATTTTTATCTTCGTCAATTTTTTTAAAAAAACCTAAGAAATTCAAAATTGTTTTATGCTATAAATAGCTCAAAAAGAGTCAAATTATTTTGAAAATTGTAAATGTATAGAAAACACATTAAAATTGCATGTACACATTTATTTGTTTAAGTAACATCAAAAACAAAATCTGTTAAGTTAATTAATTTTCTATTGTTTCGATACTTCATAATGTCGGACATTTTAGTTTTACGGAGTAAATAAAAAATTAACCTAAACGTCTTAAACAGTTATGAAGTAATGAACTAAAGAGTAAGCAACTTCAAGTTTGCCAATGGTCTTTTCAGTTTTCATAGAGTCAATGTTAAATTTTCACCACATAAAAAAGAGAACGTTGGCTGTGAAATATCGCTTTTATTTTTTAGACATCAGAACTACAAAGAAAGTTATTTGAGCTTGAAAAACACAAAAATAATTGATTTTGAAGCAATTCAAACTCTTTTTTTTTAATAAAAATGTTTATCAAAAAATAAAAACGTTATTTCAAAAGTTCTCAACTTACTATACTGTGTATCAATTCGGAGTCTTAACCATTACTACAGCCCAAGTGGTTCTATCCCTCTCCAGACATGACATTTTTGGTATGTCGAACATTAATATTTGTAATACAGAGACAACACACGCTGGTCCTTTTAATATTATTGTACTTGATTCGACTTTACCCGATAATTACGCGTGTTCAAGAGTTTTAAATTTGTGTGTGGTTTTTGTCCTCAGAACGACACGGTCTCAGAGAAGCGAAAAAAGCTGAACAGATCCAGATGAAAATCATCAACTCTTTGCGGGAACACATCACGTACAGCATGTCCGATTCGCAGCGCAAGTCTTATTACTTCTCGAGACTACTCGCAAAACTGACCGAGTTGCGTTCACTCAGCGTGCAGGGTCTCCAGCGGATATTCTACCTGAAACTGGAAGACCTGGTGCCCGCCCCGCCGTTAATTGAGAACATGTTCATTGCTAGTTTACCATTTTGAAAAACACGATTATCCATATATTATAAAATATTATTATGTAACGTGAAAGCATCGAAGTGAATACGATTTTCTTGATATTTGACTACCGTTAATAATAATTATGTCTATTCTGTTGTACCTATACTTATACGTATATTATTGTTACCTACATCAATACGTAAATAGCGTATAGTATCATTATACGTAAAAGAGCGTGTTTCATTATTATTATTATTATTATTATTATTATTATTAT